AGAGTGGAAGAAAATTAAGATCTAGCAGTGAGGAGAAAGCAAAATAAAAGAACAAGAAACAGAAAATGGCGCTTGACGTTGCATTTAAATTTTTTATGTCTGTAGGTGGCGGGGAGGTGGGATATTGAAAGAGCGTTCTACAGGTGAGCAGTGCGAAAAAATAAACTATTAGAGTAGAACTTAAACTGTTTTCTTGCAAGTTAAATTAACTAATTTAACTTGCAAAAAACAGTTTATCTATACACAAAACGTCTATTATATATCAAACTCAATGTGATTTTATCAATGTATTTGTTTTTAAATCAAAGTTAATTCAAATTGCAAAATATAAAAATCTACCTATACACGAAACGCCTAATATATATCAAAACTCAATGTGACTTTATAAATGTACTGGTTACGTAGCCCGATCTTCTCTGTTTATTAAGGAAATATTCTGTTATGATATCTATTGCACTTAAATATACAAATGTGTTATACAGCCTAAAATGGGGTGAAAGTAAGGCTGGTCTGCACATTTAGCTGTTTCGATATTAAAACGATGAAAACTAGTTGTCAGTCGATTGAATTCTTGTAGTTGAGTTACCAAGGAAGAGAACTCATTGGAACAACTACTATGAAAATATTTATAGAAAAGACAGAGGGAAGGGACATCACGCTTGTGGGAAAATGACTAGACTCGAGCTGCCAGATAAAGAATGATTACATTACAGGCCCTTCTTTTGGATTTTGTCGATAACCGCAAGATATATAGCAGAGGTGAGCAGGGAAGACATACCAACAATATTTAATACAGGGACGATGGAAGATTTATAAACGTGCCTGATGGATCCTGGCGAGAAAAATTAATAAAAAATACACCAAAACCAAATAGAAATGATTCATGAAGTGTTTGAAAGCGCTCGGAAACAGCTAATACAACACCTAGTGGTCATTAGACGATAGTGACAAGATTCTACGGCCAACTAGGGAATATGAAATGGTTCTTGTGAGAACATTACCGGATTACTGATTTAACCGGATTAATGATGAAGGGATTGGTATGTCCAGCATGTAATTGGTATAATTTTCTAATAATATTCTCGAACTACGAGAAATCCGTGACTCCATGGTCAGAGTTGTATTTTTGAACTGCTCTATACGGCAGTGAAGGCTGTACAATCTCCTCATAGATGAAGAAGTGACTTGAAACTAAAGAAATGTGGTTCTACAGACGGGTGTTGAGAATATTATGGACCAAATCTGGGAGCAGTGACGATGTTTTAAAAGAAATGGAAAGAAAGAGAACAGTTATACTTAATATCTGGAAAAGACAGTTAAAATTTTTAGGCTAATGTGGAAAGTGTGTTTGGAAAATTTTATACGCATTGGACATAACTGAATACAAAAGAGATGGAAAAAGAACAATATTCAATCTGCCTTGTGAGATTGGTTATATCTATGGAGGAACAAGCTTTAGGAGAGATAACAAAAATACAAAATTTTATTACAAGCTCCAAAGGAAGGTAGAATTTGGATAGCCATGTTAGTCAATGTCTTGAAGAAACCACGCCCAAACAAAAGAAGAATAATTACTAAATTATTGTTGATGAAGCAAAACTGGTAACCCTAAAGGCTTCTGGAATTAAGGCTGTTAGAAAATCGGTGCTAACATCATATATATATATATATATATTCTGTCAAAGAACGAATATTTTCTATGAAAATTTCTCGGACATTCAGGCCGGTAAATGTTATTTAATACTGTTTATCATAAACAGAGCATTTGCTTAAATACTTGTATCTATAAATAACAACGTTAAACATAAAAATGTCTTTAATAAATAAATTGTCGGACCTTGTCCATTTCTTAATATATGACGTAATTTGTTTACATTTGATACGCCAGAGCAGTTATGAATGTACGAGATTCATGGAAGATTGAAGTTTATAAGCAGTAAATTCGACCTTGTCTACCGAAAAGGTTCTTTGTGGCCCAGAGGTAAGGCATGTCAGTATATATATATATATATATATATATATATATATACTTGTGTAAAGCGTGATCGCGCACCCCCTAAATTTTCACTCATAAAAAAGGATTTTATCATGTATCTCTTGTATCATACGAGTTCTTTTTTGAGTGACCAACTTACAATTGACTAACTTCTTTTCCTCTATCTCTTTATCCCTAGATAAATAAGTTAAAATTAAAAGACAACGATTAACTCGTTGCGCAAACGCATACAGCCATAAACAGCCATACGAGAAACAGCTAAACATCTTATAAACGTAAAGAATGGAAAAGATGCATATTCGCTATGTTTGTATTTCATAATACGATACTAATATTCAAGTAAGTGTTCCGTTTATATGTATTTCGCCTGACTCCTAGCGCACCTCAGGACACATCAATATTCATATCAATTATTTTCTCCAACCTTGAAGAAAAGATACTGACCCTCAAAACGGTCACTTATTCAAAACAATACATTCTCCGACAACATTATTTTCCCGATAATAAACTCAAACTTTTGTGTTTAATAATTATATCATTTTGCCTTATTTTGAATGGTGATCTTTTTTTTTAACAACCTATATATATATATATATATATATATATATATATATGAAGAAAAATATACGGAAAAATTAACAAACAAAAATCCTAATATACAATTATGCCGTCTTAATGTTAATATAATATCAACCTCGGACGTTTCGGTCTAGTATACCATCTTCAGGACATATTCATAAAACATAACATTATATATATATATATATTTATATATATATAAAGTAACTTCCAATAACTTGCACTGATTTCTAATGTGAATTAAGTTTAAGCGTCTAATGATTTTTTTTAAATCTTTGGCAATTTCATCCCGGGAAAGATTAACAATCAAACAACGTCTAAAATTATCGAAGCGTATTACGAAAATGGTCGTTCAAACAGAAATGCATTTCGCGCACTTTGTGATTTTTTGGGTCAGCATAATCGACCAACCGAGAGTGCAGTTGGAAACGATGTAACGTTGTTATGGCGAGGTTCAATTCCTGCGCGCGATGACGAAGAGAGGGGTCTGGATTTTCGGCCACATTCTCGTGCACTGTAGCAATGTTTTCAGCTGAACGGCGTAAAGGCGCACGCAATGGTGTTTTCACATCTGCCACCGACACAGTTTGTTTGAATTTACGAGCTATTTTCCAATTGCACAGTTAAAACTTTAACACGTAGTTTGATTGTTAATCATTCCATGGTTGAAATTGTCAAAGACTTAAGTTGTTAAATCTGAAAGAAAAAGAAATATATCATTAGACGCATAAACTTAATTCACATTTAAAATCGGTCTAATTATTGGAACACCCTTAATATATATATATATAATTAACCAATCACACACACACACGTACGTATATATATATATATATATATATATATATATATATATATATATATATATATATATATATATACGTATGTGTGATTGGTTAATTATCTGCAGCTGTTGCCACTCATCATGAAGCAAAACTCCACTCTTAGCTAGAGAAATTGAGATATTTAATATTGCAGTAACGACAGAAATGAAAACACCCAGACTAATTATTTTATAAAAAGTTAATTTTCTTCTAAACATGACACAGCAGGGTGTTATCCTTCATAGCGAGGCAGGACGTTGGCAATGCGGATATTATCGGATATTATTAAGGAGAAAACTCAATATCACTGAAATACAGCTGCCAAACAAAACTATTAATATCTTGCCGCCCGAAAATGAATAAAACCTTACTTTAAAAAAATGAATTTGATGCAACCTTCTTATATTTCCGATTGCTCTTTGGGGAAATATACTCATGAGGGATATTGTAGATATTTCATCTCAGCAATTACAAAACACACACACACAAACATACACACAATCACAAAACAAACACAAATATATGCACGTGTGCGTGGATGTTTTGACGTGGTGTAATGTTCTCGTTAAATGATTTACGCCTAAGTAGGGAGTTCGATACTGAAAGGATGCTACGAACTTTCAGCCGTGAGTGATATCTATGCTCTGCTTAGAAAATACCTTTCTTAGCAAGAAAATGGAATCTCCTGCAGCTCTTCCTGACGGTCTCTTTGTTTAAGTTAGTGAACGCTGCTATAAACCTTTCCTTCAGTTCATTATCTTTGTCACAACGAGTTTTGTTGGTCTCTGGTTCAACTGCTCCTCACGGATAATAATCAAGTGAGTTGCAGTCTGGGAAGTTAGGTGGCCTGATGTAAGGGGTGATATGATCGCAGAAATTGCCTGGCAGTTATGACTGGGTTTTCCTGCTTGTGTGGTATGGTGCAGGGTCCTGTTGTCAGACACAAGGTCTTTCAGCAGCCACCCTATTGACCCAGAGCATCACTACCTTCTCAAAGCACTTGATATAGGCCTCCATGTTGAGCCGGAGGCCCTGTGGGAAGATGGATAGAGGCATCACGTTGGCATCACTATTGATCACAACGAATCCCCTGCACTGTCCTCCGATTTACACTCAAGCACTCTGAAATGTTTGTATTGGAGTTTCTGGCTCTAATGCATGGCGTTTCCAAATTTATGTTGTAGCAAATTGCGCCGTGGGGCTCTTTTTTCTCTCAAATGATGCCAAACTGATTCTACTATACTGTACATTCGACAAAATCAAACACCTACAACACACATGCGCGGAAGTAAAAATATAATATGGCGACAACATAATCGCACCATCTCTCTCTCTCTCTCTCTCTCTCTCTCTCTCTCTCTCTCTCACTATATATATATATATATATATATATATATATATATATATATATAAATGGACATTAATATCAACACTCAGAGACGACAATCTGTTTTATGCTAAACGCAATCGTCAGGCCATGTGCGTTGTGTTTTGCTTGATTTTTATATATACAGGTCAGTGATGCAATGTTGGTAGTGTGTTGCATTGTGGGTAGTCTATTGTATTACTCTAACGATTATTTTGGTGGGTGTGATTTATTAATTTGTTTCTTATTTACTTAATTTATTTACATATTTACTTGTTCGGATTAATTTATTTTACTTTTTTTATTTATCTATTTATTCTCGTTTGTTTTCAGCTTTCGATTTTAAAGTATCGTAGTGAAATCTGTTTTAGTGTCTACATTTTGAGATGAGTTCTGATCGATTATTTAGTAGTTGTTTTGGTCTGAGAAGTTAATTATTGTTATTTTGACTCTAGGCAGTGTATATATTTTTAGATTGATTGTTGTAGTCTGATGTCCTTTTCTTTATTTTACATGATATTTTTGGTGTGATTTGTTTTTAATCTCACAGATATGTTTAGAAAGCATTGTGCTGTTCGGCTATTTACTATTTATAAAGTATGTTTTGTGTGCCTAGTTTCTTTGTTTACAGGATCCTTCAGATACGCCTATGTATATTTTTTCTTCATTATCTGCTGATTTTACAGTGGCTTGGTATATTACATTGTTCAGCAAGCAAGTGTCGTTTAAGGGACTTTCATTCTTTTTTTCTGCAGTTACATGTGGTTTAATTTGTTCAGTTGGATTGTTGATTGTTTTCCTGCTGTGTTTTTTTTATTGCTTTTCATATTCTCGATGCATCTGCTGCTGATTTTTACTGTTTTTGTTGAATATCTTGTGGAGAGTGCTTGGTGCGGGGAAGTGTTTGTGTATGAGATTAATGTATTTGATTTTACGTTTTTGTTGTATGGTGGGTAAAGATGAAAGTCGATATAGAAATCAGCGGTTGATATTCTGCCTATAGCTTGATCTCGTTTGCATGTTCTCAGTTTCGGGAAGATTTTTTATGATTATTTCAATCAGTTAAGCAGATCAACCGATATATATTCATCCTTAGACGCGAAGATATAAAATCTCACATCGTTCAACAAAACAACAGATACATATATAAATACGAACAGAATGAGATAGGTAAATAGGTACATAGATAAAGAGACCGATATAGATACAAACACACTGGGATAGATACATAGATACATATTAAACGACTTAGATAGATAGATAGATAGATAGATAGATAGATAGATAGATAAATGACTTAGATAGATAGCTACATGGATAGATACATACATACATATTAAATGACTTAGATAGATAGATAGATAGATAGATAGATAGATAGATAGATAGATGTGGACAACTGTGAGATAGATATTAGATAGATGTGAACAAACTGATAGATAGATTGTGACAGAGATATACATAGAGTAATCTACGAGAGACTGTGACAGATAGAGAGATACAGAGACAGACACAAAAACTGAGATAGATAGATAGATAGATAGATAGATAGATAGATAGATAGATAGATAGATGTGAACTGTCTGTGAGAGATAGATAATAGATAGACGTGAACAGGCTGACAGGTAGATTGTGACAGATAGAGATATACATAGATAGACTAATCTATGAGAGACTGTGACAGAGAGATAACATAGATAGACAGACACACAAAATGAGATAGATAGATAGATAGATAGATAAGACTACATTGGTAGAACTAGACTGATAGATATTTTTGATTGATAGATCACACATGTTTTGTAACATAATATTGTCATCACTTGGTCGAGATCGATATCGATGTTAACATGACGATGATCGCCCATACATCAAAAGGAAAATCTAAAGATTCATTTTAATTTTCCATCCGTTCAAAAGTCATCAGTGTCAATCCCATCAAAGAACTGATTTTCAAACGTAAAAACTCAATATAGTGATGCCTGTTGATTTTCCTATTAACAAGGTTTCAGCAGATTTGTTTATTTCCAAGTTAAACATTGACTTAAACATTTAATTATTTGGATATTTAGTGAATAATACAATAACAATTAAATTAAAAAAAAACTATTATGTTTCGCGTTTCGTTATACAAAAGTATTTCTTCGGGCTAAAATTCTAAATGGAATATTCTGTATGCTGAGGACGACAGACATAATTCTACATCGAAAATGAGATTTCGTTTTAAATTTAATTTTTATCTTTCTTCACTTTCGATACGATAGATAAATACTCGGTGGTTCGTCTCAAGACTTTCGACAAGCTTGCAGCGTCTGGGCCCAAGAAACTCTCCCACTAGACACATCACAACAAAAAAAAAGCTGGGATAAAATAAAATGACCAATTTTACTAATTTGAGGCTTTCTCTGGATCCAGATCTACCACCACAACCGAGTAGTGGCGCCTGGCTCAACGCAGTGCCCTCTTCATCTACCGGTACCCTTCTAGATGATAGATTCACTCATGTCAGGATCCGTCTTGGACTCAAATTATGTCATGTGGAGCCTCCATCGATAAGTTTGATTTGCATCCCTCTCCTGTCGTCGTAGTGCCGATGCGACATCATCAAAAGAGGTCGATGTTTCCCTTCCCAAATCATGACCGATGATGGAAAGCGGCCATACCATTTTCCCTTTTAAAATGGGAAAACCTGTGCCTATGTACCTATTTACCTATTTCGGTCGGTAATTTGATCAGTTCCGCGGTTGAGCTCGCTCAGGACGCAAAGCTGATAGATTTTTTTACTCCTTTTCCATCGTTCCTTCGGAGGATTGGCGTTCGATTAAGGGACGAGCCTCGCTAAACAAAAGCTCATCTGTGGTTCGAGGTAATGCTCCCATCAAAGGTTAGAAAAAATTGAACTGATTTTCAAAAAAGTAACATGTAAAATGTTTTAAAAATATTTCAAAATATTGGCGTGTGATCGAGATAAGCCTGTACAGCTTCCTATTTTTCGATATTATTTTTGTATCACTAATGTTTTAAGTTTTCATTGTTATGGACGTAGCCTTCTTAAGAAAGGAAATTTGAATTAAAGTTTTTCAGTGAAAGACTCAGAAATTTGTGCATATTCAATATGACTACCTTTTAAAATTTAATTATTTGGAAACAGACATTTCAGTCGAAAAGTTGAGCCTATTATGATGCAATAAATACACTGAGAGATTATTTTTATTTACAAATAATTATCATTAAACTTTAATTAAATTAATAATTAAAAAAACTATTTTTATACAAATGGACTCACCCAGTATATACCTTTACTACGTCTACGCGTTTCGTTATACAAAAAGGTTGTAGGTAACCGGAAGAGTTTCTTCAGCGTCGTAGTAGTCACAGTGAAATTCTAAATGGAATATTCTGTATATATGCTACTAACCCGATTCCTGGACGAACCTGCTTTACCAGTTTGTATTATTACGTTAATACATTATTTTTCCTATATTCATTCTTGGCGTTTGTTATTAATTCTTTTTTTTTCATTAAGATTTCGATTCACGCGACAACCATCATCAAAATAAAAAAGAAGAAAAAAAACTAGTCGAAAAATTAAATACGAAATTACATCATTTAAGAAGTACAAATAAAACATGAGTCATAAAATGAAATTTAATTTTAAAAAAAATTATCATTAAATTTTTAGTCTGATCTGTATTTTTAAAGAAAAAAAAAACTTGCGCACAATTTCTTCCCCAGCCACTTTCAAGTTAAACTATAATAGCCGCCATACACGTCTAGTAAAGTCAACGAAGAATTAATTGATAAGAAATTCAGATTAGCAAGACACGGTTTAGTTTATCTTTATTTTTTTTAATTTTTTATATATATATATATATATATATATATATATTATATATATATATATACACTAACAACAAAAGACATTTTAGTGGATAACGTAGGGCTGAATGCACAAAAGAATGGGTGGCTGTTTTAATAAAAGTGTAGCAGTTAACATTACATATTGTATATTTCCCCATCTATTTAAGTGTGTATTACAAAATATACATACACACATACACGCGAAAATACGCATATATATATATATATATATATATATATATATATATATATGGGGACATTAAAGTGAATACGTCGATGATTAATCTCATATATATATATATATATATATGTATATATATACACACACACATATATATATATATATATGTTGTGTGTGTGTGTGTGTGTGTCGTGTGTGTGTGTGTGTGTGTGTGTCTGCACACATACATATGTGTGTATGAATTTAGTGCCTTTGCAGTCACTCTAAGAAAAGTCCCATCGACCCTGGAAATATTTTTTGATCTGAATCGAAAATATATCAACGATTCGTTTAATCAAGGTTGGTCGAAAAGTTCGCAGGCTTGAATCCTGCAGGAGATTGCATATTTTTCTGTAATAAAATTTATCGAGTTTCAAGGTTGGTCAACGAACACACACACACACACACACACACACACACACACACACATATATATATATATATATATACTTTTTAATAAACAAACGGGGCGTCTACTCAAATACGAGTATCTACTAAATGTAAGAAGAATGGGCAATCTATAAAAAATATGCCGAGCAAAGAGAGACAGAGAGAGATTAGAGTGACGGAGAAATTGAATGAAAGTCCATGAAAGGATCCATTGAGAACGCATTGATTTTAAGAAATCGTACATAACTAACAAAATCGGAAATGGATAAAAAAAAAATGCAAATAAAATCACGATGAAAGACAGAACCAGCTAAAAAAAAATGTAGGGAAATAAAGGAGAAGAGAGATCTATACATTGAAAGAAAAAATAAAAACTATAGTAAAATGAAGAACGTAGTTTCATAAAAAAAAAAAAAAAAATCTATGGATTTCTCTTATGATTCTGCATCGTGTTTTTGTTCCTATCGGCAAGCAAAGAAAGTAAAAATAATAATAATAATAATAATAATAGATACTTTTGTTATCATTGTCTATTGATTTGGTACACATATTCATTCAACAAGAGACGCCATGTTTGTCATAACACATGACCCTCATCGTCGAACTTCCCGCTGCTGCTGCTGCTGGTAAAAAGATGACATGAACTAAATTTACCTTCAAACATCTAAAGATAGTTTCTGCCAAACGGGAAGTGTTACATCCGCTCCCCTTTTCTCTTCTTCATTTCCTCCACAACATTCACGAGTTGTTTTTCTCCCATCCATTCGCCTCCATTTACTTCCCACTTTCGTTTCATTTACTCGCCTTTTATTTATATATCATACGGCTTCTACTAAGAGAAGATAACTTCTACCGCCGCAACTTTTATTCCAAGGATAAGTGTTCGGCTCATTGGCATTAATAATTCATTGTTATCGAAGCAGGAGTGCGTAGAAATGCGGGCAAATGAAATAATCGATTTATCAATGATGACAATGGCGGCAGCAAAAATAAACCGAAAACAGCAAAACTTGTAACAATCTTCCTATAATGGAGCAACTGCTTCGTTACTTCCATTGTCTTTGAACTTTTAAAAAATTTTATGTCATGTCTCTTGACTACGTTAGCGATCATGGCTCTCTACGGATTTCTTTTTTCCAATATCTGTGAATTACGAAGAGTTCTTGGGAAAGAACTTGGAGTAACATTCATTTGTTTTCTCTTCGATTTTTCTATTCAGACTTGGACTTATATTAGTGTGGCTGACAGTCAGGATTAGAGAGCAGAGTCTACTCTACTATTTAAAATATAGTGGGCATTAGTGCGAAAATAAGCGCAACAAATTAGGCCAGGATTTGAACTCTGATCACTGATTCCAAAATTATGTCTATGTGGACTGGTTTTATTTCTTTTATAAACTCGACTCTTTGGAACCTAACCAATCACGGTTCTTTATAGACTGTTTTAATGAACGGTCTCTACCTATTAAATGATGGAATGAGGTTTTAATGCCTATTCTTCTTGTATGTGCCGCGTCACTCCATGGCACAGGTAATCATGGCTTCCTATCTCGTGTGGCTCGTACCTCTTCTTTTCCCTTTGCTAAGGCTTCCCCTCGTTCCGTGTTGTGTAACGGATAACTGCTTAGAGTTTGAAGTCGGATAGCATAGTTCTAATTTTGGTTGAGTTCGTTATATTCGATATATATATATATATATATATATATATATATATATATATATATATATATATATAACTAGCAGTAGAGTCCGGCGTTGCCCGGGGATAAGAGATAGATCAAGTATCCACCATCATAAAGACTGAAAAATAAAATTGACAAAGATTATTGTTTAAGGTTGACGGAAACGCATGTCTTAATTAGTTTTTTTTTTTTTTACGAATTGGTCAAACCCAAACTCAAACAAAAACATTGTTTTCAGTCTCTACCGATTGAATAGAATTTTATTATAAATAATTGTCTTGTAAATGGAATTTTTAAAGCATTCTGAATGTAAAAATAAAGAAAAAAAGTGTGCAAGACAATAAGAAACACTACATGCCAAAAAAAGTGAAGTTTTGTTGAAATCGGTTGAAAAATGTAGGTAGCCTTTCTGTAATCTTTTAGTTTTACAATTTATGATTTTTACTTCTTGAATACACTAAAAAAATTGCATATTTTGCTTGTGGTGATTCATAATTAGAATTCTGATTTGAATATATTTTCCACTCGTTGTTTCTAATACAAAAAACTTTATTTGGGTTTATTAATTATGATCTAACAAATCTTATTCATTTAGTAGCCTTTCTGTAATAATAATCTTTTACAATTTATGATTTTTACTTATTAAATACAGTAAAAAAATTGGACACCATATTATTTTTAAAGTAGTTTCCGGTTATTATTTTTTTAGTTAGGAGGACTTGTGTATGTTTAGATTTCATTATCTTGCCCTAAAGATAAAGAATTATCCGATATTTGGATTCGTACAATCAGTAGAGATCGTTAGATTATTGTTTAAGGTTGACGGACACGCATGTCTTAATTAGTTTGTTTTTTTTTTGTTTTTTTTTTTTACGAATTGGTCAAACCGAAACTCAAACAAAAACATTGTTTTCAATCGTTATGAGTCTCCCGATTGAATAGAATTTTATTATAAACAATTGTCTTGTAAATGGAATTTTTAAAGCATTCTGAATATTAAAAATGAAAAGAAAAAATGTGCAAGACAATAAGAAACACTACCTGCCAAAAAAAAGTGAATTTTTGTTTTATCGGCTGAAAAATGTAGGAAATCCGATCCCATATATAAAGGAATACACACACACACACAAACAACCCGGGTTTTTAACCCGATGTGAGTTGTCCCCCTTTCATTCTCACGATGTCTCTTAATCGTGTTTTCAAATTGATTTTGTGCAAAAACAATTGTATTTTCCCCATTTTCGGCGCTGTTAGAACCACCGCGAGGTAATTTTATGCACTCCTGTGAAGTTTTGTTGAAATCGGTTGAAAAATGTAGGAAATCCGATCCAATATATAAACGTTACAGACACACACACAATCTGCGTTTTATAATAAGTAAGATTAATTCATCGAGTCTGATAGAAACCTCAACAGAATGCAGAAAGCACTGGACGGCCGTTTCGTCCTATATTTGGGACTCATCAGCAGTGCGTATCCACTACCGAAAATTGAAACCCTGACAGTTAGGTTGTCAATCAAACATCATACCAACTGTTCCAAATGGGCCTCGTTGACGAAGAGATTGCAAATCAGACTCAATATAGCGCCGCTCACTCACATATTCCGTGGTGGAACCATAATGCGTTCTCTGTAACCATAGGACTGTGCCCCCTGGAGTCACGACTACTCTCACTAAGCAGCTACTCTAGAGCATTAGAAGCCGGTTCAAGCGCTGATATACACAGATAGTAATTATTAGGAGGATTTGATAATTATATTTTAAGTAATTCATTGAGTCTGATAGAAACCTCAACAAAATGCAGAAAGCACTGGGCGGCCGTTTCGTCCTTATGATGTATGATGTTTGCTTGACAACCTAACTGTCAGGGTTTCAACTCTTGGTAGTGGATGCGCACTGCTGATGAGTCCCAAATATAGAACGAAACGGCCGTCCAGTGCTTTCTGCATTCTGTTGAGGTTTCTATCAGACTCGTTGAATTAATTAAATATAATTATCAAATCTTCCTAATAATTCCTATCTGTATATATATATATATATATATATATATATATATATATATATACGTGCAAATACACTTGGGAAAGGTATAAATCCAACTCTTCACCTCTTACCGACAACGGGATAATTAATAGGACTTGTATCATTAAATCCTTATTATTTCCAAAACATTCTCAGAATTTAAAAATAATTCATGGCTTTAAATATACCGCCAAAGGTTGAAAAACCTTAAAAAAGACAAATCAATCACTCAATCAAAGAAACCCATGTCCCTATTCATCAACATTACAGCCATGTAAAAAAATCACTGCTTCTTTTTATTTTTTTTTGTTTTACTAAGCCCAACAACAACTGAAAGAGTTTGTTGTGTAAGAGATAAGAGTAATAGGTAAGGGGTATGTGGCTGTAGTGACAGGGGACGCCTCCTTTTAAGACTCGGTTTCACGAAGTGGCGGTAGGTGGGAGCAATTATATTGGAACTTTATAGGTCTCCGCCGTTTATCAATGATGTTTCCCATGCAGCAAATCCAAATTGATGGATCCAAAGAAACTGCAGGGCCATTACAGTTTGGCACCACCGCGAGAACAAGGCTGAATCCAACTCCGTACATTATCTGCTACGCCAGGGCTACAAAAAGTTTTGAATTCAAACTTACGTTGCCGGTTGCCACCCATGGCTTTAGTTTGTCCTGCTCTTTACCCATAGCTGTTGAGAGAAGAGGATTTCCCAGGGGTATTAGCACGTAAGTGAATGTAATTGATCGGACTAGAATTCGAACTCGGCTCTCCGATTCTTCAAGCCGAAAGGTGGTTTGCCTTAGCTGTGAAGGCTTGAACTGATGGAATGAAGAAATGCACATTTTCGATGGAAATAACGATAGTTTAGTGAGCGGTTTTGCAAGATTTCGTCAGCGGGGAAATGATCTGTAGGCTGGAAAATATTTCCATAATTCCAGGATGACGATAATCTGTTTTGCCGTCATGAACCTTTCTAAATTAAACTGAATCGCTATCATCCAATTAACTGACAGGGGACGAGAACCGGTGACTTGTAGCTGATCTCTACTCTGACCGAGCTCTAACAGATCAAAAGAGAATAAAATCCTTTTGAAATTGTAACACCATAAAAACCAAGCTGTTATCGATTCATCATCACCAATAACACTATAAGTTTGGATAGCATAGTTCCTATTTTGGTTGATTTCGTCATATTATATATTTCACCGCTCACCGACAACGTGTTAATTAATAGGACTTGTATCATTAAATCCTTATTATCTCCAAAACATTCTCAGAATTTTAAAATAATTTATGGTTTTAAATATACCGCCAAAGGTTGATAAACCGTAAAAAAGACAAATCAATCACTCAATCAAAGTAACCCATGTCCCTATTTATCACCATTACAGCCATGTAAAAAAATCACCGTTTCTTTTTCTTTTCTTTTTTTCACATGAGGAAAAGTGACACTTTCAATTTAGCTTGATGATTTGAACATCTATTCTGTCTCAAGTTTATTCCCCACCTCAAATAGAACCGTCATAAAATCCCCATTACTAAAAATGTTGAAAAGAAAAAAAAACGATTTGTTCATTCTATCGCTCCAGAAAGTACTCGATATCGTCTGCTATGCTTACTTTTTACTATTCAAATCAGACCAAAGATAAAACTGAAAGATATAACTAATGGTATATTATAATGCAGAGGTTTCTTGAACCAGGCAAACTATTTCAAGTGTTACACAAGGGTAAAATATGTTGAGAAACTCTGTCCTACAGCATCATGCCAATAGATCCAAATCCGAATGCCGCATGCTTAAAGCTATTCTGATGGTAAAATTTAAGAAAACATTCATTCCTTAGTTCCACCAGTTCAAACATTTGTAAACGTCTTGCTACTTCCATGCAGTTGAATCACTCTTATTCCCGACACATTCCAAATGTAAAGAGAGTTACACTCAGAGATCTATTTTCTAAGTACTACTTTTTAGTGGAACAGATTCACGCGTGGTGGTTTCTCCGAATACAACAATATTAACATCATCAAATACACCAGGTATAACAGCAAAATTGTCCAAATCG